CAACAGGCTTTACTGCTAGTCAAACATAAAACACTAAGAACAATCCTAAGCAGGTCTACTCCAAGTCAAACCCAGGCCTATTCAGTGGGGATTATTCTATGGGAAGTATTGTTTGGACTGCATTGTAAGAAAGATAACTGCATTTCAAACACACTAACTTAGCAAGTGATATACAAATAAAATGTGAAATGCTTGACTTAACACGGTACTCCTGAAAATCTTAGTATAACAAATGCCATACATGCACATATCAGGAATTTCAAAACACCACAAACACTTTAAAAAAAAGACATTACCTCTGAGAGAATTCTAGTCCTCTCTGTTACTCCTCCACTTCCTTGTTGGTATTTTTCTTTGGCCTATGTGGGGGGGAAAATTGTATAATATAAAATGCACAGCCCATGCAAAATCATCTTTTTACATGAACAATCCTGAGTGTGAATGCACACTTAAGAAGTTTATATTATATGATCTAGGAGCCTGAATAGCTCTGGCAGCTATGCAGGGCAGGCCATAGTTAGTATTGGAATGGGAGACCACCATGGAAATCCAGGATTGCTACACAGAGGCAAAGCACCTCTGCTCATCTCTTGCCTTGAAAATCCCATGGTCCTGAGGTTGCCATGAGTGAGTCACAACTTGACAGCACACAGTTATTATTATGATACGATCTATAATTGGTGCCTCGAAAGCAAGTAATAAAGAGACACACATTTTTAAACAAGAGAAAACACTATATAATGAGATCACACAGTGAAAACCTTCACTAAATTATGAAATAGCACCTATAAAGTCTTTATAGAAATCAACTCTGCACAGCTTAAGACCGCATGTCAGTTTGTTACCTCACTCAAAAGGGCCTGGGCAGAACGATACTCTTGAACTAAATGCTCCAGCTGGTTGTTGATGTATTTTTCCCGGCTGCTGACTTTTTCCAGGGTTCTGCTGATTTCGTTATGAAGTTTGTCATGGTAGCCCTACAATGGTTTAACATGAGTCAGATCCGAGGGGTTATTTTAGGCGTGCCCATGAGGTTCGGGCATACACAGTGGAATTTGTTTTTTATTCATTTCCTTTGAAGACTTCCCTTCTCTGTATCACCAAGTGCGTTTGATATTTTGAAGGGTTGAGATGTTTGAAGTCTGTTTCAAAGGCAACTTGCTACGTAACAGGTACTAGTCTGTGCATGTGCACACATTACTGTTCAAGAAACACAAATTCAAAGACCCCCCTTTGGAATGTAGTACTAAACTGTGTGGATCATTGTATCCTGGTCAATATATAACTGAAACAAGCAAAATTATTTCACTTGCTCAACCACAACTAGACCTTAAGTAACAGTGCTTCTGCAGGTTTTTTTTTTACAAGTCAGTAAGAAAATAAGCCTCAACACCAGGAAAAATAACAGACAAGCCATTTCATTCTTTAAAAATTCACATGTATTTGAGAAAAATTAAGAAAGCTTGAAAGGATTATTTATAAACAAAATAGCAAGTTTTTAGTGTTAGAGCTGATTTTTTGTAACCGTGAACATTCATCAATTTCTAAGACATCCATCAGCGATCAAATAGCCTCACCCATATTTATCTATCCAATACACCTCATCTGGACAACAAAGCCCCCAAGTAATGTTTTGCTCCTCACAACTAAGTATATCTACGGGCTTTGCAGACTTTCATGATACAAAAAGGAGAGCCAGTTAGTGATTAAGAGCTGGCTCAGGAACGAACCAGATAACTGGCAAAAGCAGCTCCTTTTGGCTTCACTGAGAGGCTTGCTGGGGGAACCCCACACAGTCTTGAAGGTGCCTGATGGAAACCACAGAGGAACATGATGCTTCCTGGGGAAAAACCACGCATAACTTACATGCAGAGGGATTTGGCAAAAGCAAACAATGAGCAAAAGCAACGCCACACAAAGGAAGGGGAAGTTCTCTTGTCAGAAACCCATGAAGTGCTAACAAGTCATCAAAAAGCCACATTTGAATTATTTGAATATATTGGAAACCTACTTTGGTCTCTTTTAAAGCAGATTCAATTCCATCTTTGTGCTGGTGCATTTGATCTACATGGATTCTCCAATCCTACAATTGAAGTAAAAAGACATAACACAATTTATTTCATGCCTGACTCATCATAACTTTGCAAAGTTGGCTGCACAGCTGGAAAGGGTGGAAAGTTTGTTTATTTATTTATTCAAATTTTTACCCCGCCCTCCCGGCCGAAGCCCAAAGACAGTCATGTTGGAATGATATCATCTGAGACACC